ACTGCAAGCTTTATCTCCCATGTTCAGGCAATTCTCCTGCCTCAGCCTCCCAAGTAGATGGGATTACAGGCGTGCGCCACCACACCCAGCTAATTTTTATATTTTTAGTAGAGATAGGGTTTCACCATGTTGACCAGGCTGGTCTCAAACTCCTGACCTCAAGTGATCCATCTGCCTTGACCTTCCAAAGTGCTGGAATTACAGGCGTGAACCACCACACCTAGCCCATGAACTATATACCTTAAAATGACTGTGATAGCAAATTTAATGATACGTGTTTCTTACCGTAATAGAAAAAAAGTTTATAATATGAGTTGTACAGCATCCTAAATAGTGAAGTAAAAGGTTTCTACATTTTTCCATTTAGGAAAAGCAAACCAGTAACCCAGCTAAATCCCAGGTAGACCCCCCCGTCACTGCTGGGTTTGAGGGCCCAGGCCTCTTGCCTGCTGTAACTCGCTGATGAGCTTGTTCTTATCTTCTAACAGCCCAGCACAATGCAGCTGTTGGGTATTGAGCATTTCCCACAGCTCCTGGGGAATTCTCTTCTGCTTGCCCTCTTCCCACTTTGAGGTGATTTTAACGAATTTGTCCTGGCTGGTCTTAACTTCATCTTCCAGCTTCTCAATCCTGCAAATACAAACACGCCAGCCATGCCAGGCCAGCTTGAGATGCTGCCTTCCAACAGAGCAGGTATGTTCATATGGTCTAGGTACTGGGCACTACCCAAACACACCCACCCACCCAAAATCAAACTCAGTGCTGAGAGATCTTTTAGTTTAATGCTTGACTACAAGTAACTTAGGCCACTAAGGAAAATGACGCATAGCAAAAACAGATCCACATTAAGGCTACACACACACCCCAAGAGTCAACTCGTCACCTGCTTCTGAGTAAGATGGTAACACACAACAGTCAAACACTGGGTCTCTGGAGCCACAGAGCTTATACTGAAGTCCTGACTTTGCTACTAAGTGACTGTCAACCTTTTAGAATAGTTGCACCACCTGTTCAAGCCTCACTTTTCTCAACGGCAAAATGAAATGGATGAAAGTATCCACCTTCACATGGCTGGCTATTGTCAGGATGAAATAAGATGATACTCGCAGCACAGGTGCTCAGTGTGGGAGTCACTTAACACATGGTACTTAAATTATCAATTTTTTATTAGTAACATGACCTTGTGTGTCTGGCTACTCCTCTCCCGTATTACCAGTGAATGACTACTGGAATGTACAAATAGGGAAACTCCACCATGAGGAATGGAAAAGAGGGAGAACCTTGCCATCAATTCCAAATAACTCCATGATGGAGCACACGGAGGATGGGGCGAGGCAGCAGGAAGGCAGGAGAGCTGAGCTGGGGCCCCTCTGGGAACAGTGGCTCGGATATCTGACAGAGACTCTGCTCCTTGTAACAGACTAATCCTTTGAGGGCACCTCCAAACAAACCCCCTGAGGAACCCAAGTCACGAATTAAACATCCTGTAATCCCCTCTCCCTGTTCCATCCCCTACCCACCCCACCTTCCAAGCTAGGACACTTTTTAAATTTAATTGACTTTTTAATTTCAAGAAATGAGAAACAGCTGTCAGGTCATCTTCCACAGCACACTGGCCTTGTAACCTTGCCACCTGAGACCTTCAGCATTGCTCAGTGGCTAGAGGATGAGGCCTAACTCCTTGTCATGACCTTCCCCACCTTTCACAAGCTGACCCTGCTGGGAATCTGCCGACTCAGTTCCTGGTACAGCTCATAGGGGCAGTGGGAAGTTTCGAGAATGAAAATCACCAACCTACACTGGAAAAGCTGGTAAAGTTGCTAACGAGGGAGCTACTTATACTGAACAACTAAAAACATTGTTAAAATCGTCCCCTGTAGGTATAAGATGAGCCAAAATGGTCAAATGGTTGCTTTCTTTCTTTCTTTTTTTTTTTTTCTTAAGACAGGTTTCACTCCCATTGCCCAGGCTGGAGTCCAGTGGCACACTCTTGGCTCACTACAACCTCCACCTCCTGGGCTCAAGTGATCCTCCTGCCTCCTGAAGTACTGGGACTACAGATGTGTGCGTGCCACCACACCCAACTAATTTTTTGTATTTTTAGTAGAGACAGGGTTCACTATGTTGGCCAAGCTGGTCTTGAATGCCTGACCTCAAGTGATTCACCCACCTTGGCCTCCCAAAGTGCTGGGATTACAGGCGTGAGCCACCTCACGCCCGCCAAGTGGTTGCTTTTCTAATTGTTTAAGAAATCAATTGAAGAACAATCCAAAGTTTAAATGAGGAGCTGCTATCAGTGTACCTCTGTGTACAAACCAAAGAAGTTTAATTCTTCTCAGCAGCTTATCCCTCCCTGCTGGACAGCCTGAGACCTGGGGCATGGGTGTGCAGGGCAGCCTGCCTCCAGAGGACAGGAGCTGAGGGCTTGACACTGGTTCCTGTTATCCCTCTGACCCTCCATCCTTCTAGGCATGGTGCCCTTAGTATTCTTTAATAACACTGCCATCTTTACACATAGCACTGAGACGCTTATGGGTCTGGTCATTCTCACCAATTTAAACCCAGGACTGCCCAGTTGACCTTCTTAGCCTCATCTCTTTCCTTCTGCCACCACCTTCACTATCCTTCACTATCATGCCATTCCCAAGCACGTCACGCGATCCCACACCTCTGCTCTCAAGTGTTCCTTCTGCCTAAAATGCCTACTCTTCAACTCCTCAAACTCCTATTCATCCCTCACAGCCCAACTCAATGTCACCTTGCCTGGGAAGTTTTCTCTAATCTCTGCAGATAGAATGAAAGGCCTCCTTGTGTGTGTTACTACAACCCTGTACACATTATCTATTTTAGCACGAATTATGGGAGTTTCCATGTCTCTTGACTAGACTGTGAATACCACACACAGAGGCCATGTCTCACTCCATTTGTATTTACACAGCTTGACACTTATCAGCAACATAGTACTTGAGGAAGGAAGGAAAGAAAAGAGAGAAGAGGAGGGAGGGAGAACTTATAAGGGCAGGAAGGGAATTGCCTAAGGTGGACAAAGTCACCTTCCAATGATTCCAGAGAATTGCAGAACCCATGGAGGAGATTACCTTCACGTCCATCAGGCGCAGAGTAGCACAGTCCTTACCTCTGACGCTTTAAGTCCTCTTCGACTCTCCTGTGGATCTCTCTGATATCTATTGCCACCTGGATATTTGTCACCAACTCAGTGCCACAGAGCAGAAGTTTAGCCAATTTCTGAAAAGAGAGAGAGAATTTACAAAGTTAGAACACTTTGGAAATAGCGTATAAAGTCAGAAACATTTGCACAACTGTCCGTAGCTCTTCTTCCATTCAAGCAGGAAGCAGCAGCTACCTTAAGACTTTTAAGAGTGGCCTCTATGTAGCAACCCTTTTCTATCAGGACATTTGTGATGTGATTTTACAGCTCACAATTTAAAAGCACTCTGCAGTTCTTGGCCAGGCACGGTGGCTCATGCCTATAATCCCAGCACTCTGGGAGGCCAAGGCGGGTGGATTATTTGAGGTCAGGAGTTCAAAACCAAGTTGGCCAACATGGAGAAAGCCCATCTCTACTAAAAATTCAAAAATTAGCCAGGTGTGATGGTGGGTGCCTATAATGGGAGGCCAAGGCAGGAGACTCACTTGAACCCAGGAGGTCGAGGTTTCAGTAAGCCAAGACCATGCCACTGCACTCCAGCTGGGGACAGAGCAAGACTCTGTCTCAAAAAAAATTTTAAAAAGGTGTTTCCCTTGCACTGGTGCCCTGTTGGCTCCTGGTCTCCAGCCTAAGTGACAGAGTAAGATTCCATGTCAAAAAAAAAAAAGAAAAATTATATATATATCCTTCTGTCTCAATGCCTTTATAACAATTTTAAAGTCTTAGTTTGAATGCAGATACACCTTGGAGTTCTACTCATAACTGGGTAGCTAAGGGAGAGCCTGCCTCTGGTCGCAGCTCCCAGCCCACCCCTAGCTGTCCTGCAGGCATATGGATTTTCCAGACTACACATCAAAGCTCCATCTATACCCCGTGGCCCTCCGTCAGGCCCAGGGGTTGCATAACAATGGCCTCATCTGCTCTGAGGAGGACAGACTCTGGGAAGAGGCACACACAGGTTGAAGGTAAACTCAAAGTCATTCGGGCAGGAACTTTTGGCTCCCATGGGACTCAGTGATCTAGAGAAGACAATGGGGGTTTGAAGAGACATGAGGAAAGTCTACTTGAGGGGGTGCATCCACAGGAAATCCAGAGCAGAACCCAGACCCCCATCATCACCACTTCTATTTAATGAGCTGGAGCATCCAACTAATGCAATAGGGAAGTCAAAGAAATAAAAGATATAAAAATTAGGAAGAAATAAAACTCATTATTTTCAGATGATATGATTACATATGTAAAAAAAAAAAATCAAAAATCCACAGGTAACTATTAGAATTAACAAGTGAATTTGGCAAGGTCACTGGATACCAGGTCAACGTATTAGAATCAACTATATTTATATACCACCAATGAACCATTATAATGTGTATAAAAAGTGTCAAACAGGGCCGGGCGCGGTGGCTCACGCCTGTAATCCCAGCACTTTGCGAGGCCGAGGCGGGCGGATCACGAGGTCAAGAGATCGAGGCCATCCTGGTCAACATGGTGAAACCCCGTCTCTACTAAAAATACAACAAATTAGCTGGGCACGGTGGCACGTGCCTGTAATCCCAGCTACTCAGGAGGCTGAGGCAGGAGAATTGCCTGAACCCAGGAGGTGGAGGTTGCAGTGAGCCAAGTTAGTGCCATTGCACTCCAGCCTGGGTAACAAGAGCAAAACTCCATCTCAGAAAAAAAAAAAAAAAGTGTAAAACATTGCTGAGCCAAATTAAAGAATACCTCTCATGGATTATAAATTCAATTCAATCAATTGAAATCACAGCAGGTTTTTTTTGGTAGAAATTGACAAGCTGATTCTAAAATATATATGAAAATACAAAGGGTCAAGAATAGCTAAGACAAGGCTGGGTGCAATGGCTCATGCCTGTAATCCCAGCACTTTGGGAAGCTGAGGCAGGAGGATCACTTGAGGCCAAGAATTTGAGACCAGCCTGGCCAACATGGTGAAACCCCATTTCCAGTAAAAATACAAAAATCAGTTGGGTATGGTGGCACATGCCTGTAATCCCAGCTACTCAGAAGGCTGAGGCATGAAAATGACTTGAACCCTTGAAACCAGGAGCCTGGTGGGAAATGATTGGATCATGGGGGTGGATTTCTCGTGGTTTAGCAGCATCCTCTTGGTGTTCTTATGATAGTGAGTGAGTTCTCGTGAGATCTGGCTGTTGTAAAGTGTGTGGCACCTCCCCGCGCTCCCTCTCTCACTCCTGCTCCTGCCACATGAGATGCCTGCTTCCCCTTTGCCTTCTGTCATGATTGGAAGCTTCCTGAGGCCTCCCTAGAAGCAGAGCCCACCTTGCTTCTTGTAGAGCCCACAGAACCATGAGCCAATTAAACCTCCTTATAAAGGGTCCAGTCTAAGTATTTCTTTATCTCAATGTGAGAATGGAGTAATACAGACAGACATAAACACCAAGGAAGAAAACAGAGAATGTAGACAAAAACTCACACATACATGATCACCTGATTCATGACAAAGGTGCACAACAGTGCAGTGGGGAGAGGATAATTTTTAAGTAAATTGTGCTGAGTCCACTAAAAATCTCTATAAAAAACAATGAACCTGGAACCGTACCCTTTCATGGTAGACAAAACCAATTCCAGATAGGTCACTGGGCAAAATGTAAATGGTAGAATAATAAAGCTTCTAGGAGAAACCATAGAAGACTGTCTTCATAAATATGAAGTAGACAAAGGTTAAACAGGACACAAAAATAATGACCATTAAAAACATCATAAACTGCAGGGTCAAGGGTGGGGCCAGCCTGCCCAGATCTTATGTCAGAACTAATCGTCAATATCTGAATCTTGAGGAAGGGAGCATCTGTTGTGTACATTTCTCCTTGATGCCAAGGCTCTTCACTATTTAAGTCCTAAGTGAAAGGAACGTTCAAAACCTGCTAATGATAATATCAGAGGGAGAAGAGGGAAAAAAAGAAAAGAAAAAAGGAAAAAGACATTTAAAAAAACTTGCTAATGAAAACAATATTATCTTTTTGGGTTTTTTGCTTTGTTTTGTTTTGTTTCAGTCCCATGATGGTTTTGTTTTTTATTTCTTAAATGGCTGAATTATAATCCAGCTGTGTGTCATAATTTCATACTCTTCAATGTGTGTCACCGCAGTGAAGCTGTCACAGCCCCAAGTTGAGGGCCAATACACAATTCACAGAACTGATTCATCATATTTGGTCTTTATGTAAATAATAAATGTTTTTAAATTGCCTAAATATACCATTCTGAAATGGAGGTTTTTTCCTCTCTAAAAATATTAAATACCAAAATAACTACACTTAAATAAATAATGTTACGATGATGACATTAAAAAGCTCAGCATCAGGCTGATGCCCTTTCCCTATGTGCACTGCTGCTCATCCCCAAGCTGGCGCACTTGGGGAAGTCGAGCGGTTTTCTTCCCAAGGAGCCGGGCAGGTGCAGGGACCTCCCACTCTCATTCCCTCCCGCTCTCCTCTCCTTTCATTTTCTGTAGAGTAGTCAGCCTCAGGATTAGGTTCAGTTCTGAAAGGTCAGGGATGTTTCCTACCACAAGTCAGGAAATGCCCCAGACGTTCCCTGCAGGGCACTGCTGGGACCCTGCTCCACTATGATGGCTGCTCACCATGGGTGGGAAAACTGCAATGTTAAAGAGTTGACGGCGGGTCGGAGGGCACCCAGAGCAGGGGATGACACCCAAAATACAAACATACCACGGAGAGACCTCGAATCTTAGTTTCCAAGGGCCTGTGAGAGAAGACTGAATCTTTTTTTCCAAATGAAGTAGTAATGGTTCCGTCATTTTAAACATCTTAGGAGACTTGTGTTACTTAGAGTGGAAAATTTTGCCAGGGACAAAGTCAACCCAAAGAAACAAACAACAAAAACAGCCAGAAAGAGAACAGTTAAGTGCAGCTCGGTGAGTCACGGCAGTTCCCCCACAGCACCAGCTCCTCCCGGGGTTCTCAGGCTTCCAGGTGGCCGCAGCATCCGTCCACCTGTCCACGCCACCCACATGCTGAAATGGAGGTGGATGAAATTCATCAGGCAGCTACTGTAGCATGGAAATGTGCAGATGCCACAAAGCAGCTTCATCTGAACTTTAGCCAGAGAGACAAAAGGAAATCATTCTAGGCTGAAAACAACTACATTGTTTCTTTTTCCCCAAATGATTCCACTGAAAGGTCCTGTGTGATTCCAAAAGTCTGAGTAGAAATGGAGTGATGTGAAATGCCCAAAACCCCATTATTTTGCAAAGAAAGTACACCTCAAAATACTCTAATTCCACATGTGAGCAACAAAACACCGTTTTGTCTCTGCTGCTTGGTGGGTCCTGTGAGGGCGGTGGGGACAGCTCCCCCAACGTCCTGAGGGCCTAGTACTGGGAGACCCACCAGCAGCAGGCACGGACTCTGCCGTCCTCACACAGCGTGGTCCTCGCAGGAGGACCAAGAGTCTCACTCGTAGGTAAAAGCTGAATCAATCCAAAGGCAGCAGACCAGCAGGTGCTCAGTGGGGGAGACACTGTCTCCAAAATCGGGTTTTGTTGTGTGTGGTTTTTGTTCAAGTGTGACTTCTGTCTTTAAATTAAGGAGTTTTAAGGCCACCTGAGTTTTGTGTTTTCAGTACTGAGAGGTGAAGTCCAACCACAGGGCCCTGCATCCACTGAGAGCGGGTGGGAGGCAATGTCTCCTTTTGGCACCAGAAAGTTGATAGTGTTCAAGAAAAGCTCTCCCAGTAGCTAGTTCTGGACACCCTTTTCCCTCACAGCTGCTGGTGGCATGTCCACACTCAGGGCTATGACAGTACTCTCGCCGTCTTCCATCTTGCTCTGCTTCAGCTCTGGCTGCTCCTGCTGGTCACTGCTCTGGCACTGTGTAGACAGGGAGGCTGATGTGGACGCTTGTGTCACCAACATGTGCAAAGGACCGCCACTGCATTGTTCACCTGGCCGTGGACCACAGTGGGGACTGACACCACACGAGTGCCGTTTTGTGTTACAGTTTTTATGGGTAGACCCAGAGGTGCCTGTTGCACTATAGTCACCATCTGGGCCAGGGTGGTCCGTGCTGTCTGGATGGTCCGGCTAGCAGTGCCTAGCATGGCACGGCCAATGGCAGGAATAGGCTCTACTTTCACTTGGACTTCCCTGTGATCTCCATTCTCCTGGGGCTTTCCCAGCACAGCTGCCGGGGTGACCACAGCTTGTCCAGAGACAGTGTATGTGTTCGCTGGGGCCAGTCCGGCCACACCACTGGTATCTGGTGGATGACATGAACTATCTGCACAATGGGTGGCTAGGAGGTCGAGTGGTCACTGGGGTGGCTACAGTGTAGGTGACAGGCTTGATGGCTGCCGCTGGACGGTGATTAAGACTGGCTGACTGGACAGAGGTGGTCCTGGTGCACTCTGGGCAAATGGGGCTTCCTGGATGACAGTGAGCCTGGGCTGTGCAGTGCCCGGGGGGCTGGCAAACCTTCCCTCCAAAGGCTGTCAGGGGTCTGGGTGCCACTAGAGTGAGCACTCCATCATGACTGGGAGAGGCTGGGACACTCCTAGAAGAGAGCAATCCAGGGGGTTCTAAAGCAAGGCATGCCCCTAGGCCATCTTTCCTAAAAGCCTGTTCTGTTAATTTGCTTTCAGAGGCAGGATCTATCCTCCAGAATGAGCCTTTGCCTGGTTCTTCCTGGGAATACAGAACTTTGATGAAATAACGATTCAGAGAGAGACTATGGCGCATTGAATTCTGCCAGCCCTTATCTGCAGTCCTATAGCAGGGATAATTTCTATTGATGTGTGTATAAATTCCGTTCAGGGTGAGCTGTTAGTCAGGAGCCACTGTAATTGCTCGTACAGTTGTGCACAGGAGTAAGGTGGCTTTGAATCATCCTTCAGGCTGTCTCCACCTGAAGCTTCCTTTTCTTTTTTTTTTTTTGAGACGGAGTTTCGCTCTTGTTACCCAGGCTGGAGTGCAATGGCGTGATCTCAGCTCACTGCAACCTCCACCTCCTGGGTTCCGACAATTCTCCTGCCTCAGCCTCCTGAGTAGCTGGGATTACAGGCACGCGCCACCATGCCCAGCTAATTTGTTGTATTTTTAGTAGAGACGGGGTTTCACCATGTTGACCAGGATGGTCTCGATCTCTTAACCTTGTGATCCACCTGCCTCGGCCTCCCAAAGTGCTAGGATTACAGGCTTGAGCCACCGCGCCCGGCCGAAGCTTTCTTTTCATTTTCAGGCTGTGAGTTGTCAGCCATTAAATGGAGGTCAGATGGCATCACTCGGCCCACCTTCTACCATGAAGACCCTGCTCCCTGGGGTCTGGAGGGATAGGAGTTTGCAGCGCTGATGGTTCCTGTGGGTGAGGACAGAGGGCTGATGACGTGGGCCAGAGTGTCTTGGGCGAGAGTGCGGCTGCCCAACCTTCACTGGAGACTCAGACACATCCTGCTTCTCCCTTTTCTCGCTGGACAAGGCAGTGAATACCCTGATGTTTATGCTCGGGAACCTGAAGATGCACACGTATGGCAGCTGCAGCGAGCGGCACCTCGGAAACACGCTGTCCATGAACATGCTGTTCTGGCCCAGGCAGCGCACTTAGGAGCCACCACTGCCCAGGGGCGTGAGGATCTCGAGGTGGCACCTGCCGTGAGATGAAGCTCAAGTGGCCCAAGCTCATGTCCTCAGAGCCCTGTGACAAGTTGAGGCCGACGGTCACCGAGTGCTTCTTCATCAGATACTGGAACTCGAGGCCCTCCAGGCACTGTAGGGCCCAGCCCCTGAGCAGGGACCCACCGCCTCCACTAGCCCCACTGCCTGCGAGCAAGCCGAAGCCTATACTCTGGTTTTACACTTAATTAGGAAGTGCTTGGGGTGAACTGTATATCAGCATTTAAAAAAAATCTAATATCATTTTGTCCTACACAGAAATGCTAAGAGATCACTGACCTTTTTTTTTTTTTTTTTTTTTTTTGAGGGCGGGGGGACAGAGTCTCCCTCTGTCACCCAGGCTAGAGTGCACTGGCCTAATCTCAGATCACTGAGGGTTCAAGGAATCTTCCCGCCTCAGCCTCCTGAGTAGCCAGGACCCCAGGTGTGCACCACCACCCAGCCAACTTCTGTATTTTTAGTAGAGATGAAGTTTCACCATGTTGGCCAGGCTGGTCTTGAACTCCTGACCTCAGGTGATCCGCCCGCCTCAGCCTTCCAAAGTGCTGGGATTACAGGTGTGAGCCACTGCACCCGGCTGAGCTCACTGGCTTTTAAATGAAGAGAACTAAGTACAAAAAGGTGACATGCACCATCTACTCTGCAGAGGTAAGAGATCAGGAACAAGAACCTCATCAGTCCAGTTATCTTTCCCACAGTAAAATATCTGATCCCTCACACAGTACAAGGTATTCAATGATCTCTCTATCCCTCTATGCTTTATAATCATGTTCAGCAACCTGAGTATTTTTCTCACCAGAAATGATCTCTCTCTTCTCTGCTATTAAAAGTCGCACCTATTTTTCTAAGACAACTTGAATCCCATGTTCTCCACAGAACTTGCCCTGACCAGGCCAGCTTGGTGAGCTCCTCTCCATATTCCGAGTTCACACGGTATCACCATTTTTGCCTTTCACTTAGCATTGATGAAATGCGCACGTTGCCAGTTCCGGTCTGCTGTTTTGAGCCGCTGTTTATCCCTCCTGCATCTCTTGTTCCAGGTCCTTTATTAAGCAACCCAGGAGCTGTTTCATTGCCATAAAAAGTAATCAATGATTTTCTTTTTTGTGTCTACTGAGTACAAGCTACACACTACTCCATGGCTCCAAGAAGAGGCTCTCATTCTCACAGTACATACAGTTTCACTGTGGACACTGCAGGCACACACATCTGGAAAGTCATATGCAGCAGAAAACTATCAAAATGAAAAGAATGGCGCAGACAGGAAGTATTCAATGTGTGGAGGAAGGGAGTTCAGGCTGGGCTGAGGAAGAATCCAAGAAGGATTTGGGTCTTGAGAGGGTTGTTAAAAATGGGAAAGTGAAGCCAGGTGCGGTGGCTCATGTCTGTAATCCCAGCACTTTGGGAGGCTGAGGCGGGTGGATCAAAAGGTCAGGAGATCAAGACTATCCTGGCCAACATGGTGAAACCCTGTCTCTACTAAAAATACGAAAAATTAGCTGGGCATGGTGGCGCGTGCCTGTAATCCCAGCTACTCAGGAGGCTGAGGCAGGAGAATTGCCTGAACCCAGGAGGCGGAGGTTGCAGTGAGCCAAAATTGCGCCATTGCACTCCAGCCTGGGTAACAAGAGCAAAACTCCATCTCAAAAAAAAAAAAAAAAAAATACAAAAATTAGCTGGGCGTGGTGGCACTCGCCTGTAGTCCCAGCTACTCGGGAGGCTAAGGCAGGAGAATCACTTGAACCCAAGAGGTGGAGGTTGCAAGTGAGTTGAGATCATGCTACTGCACGCTATCCTGGGCGAAAGAGAAAGACTCTGCCTCAAAAAAAAAAAAAAAAAAGGGAAGGTGGTCAGATGAGCGGAGAGAAGCGGAGGAGAATTGAGGGGCCCTGGCATTCCAGATGATCAAAGGCACAGAGCAAGGATGAACAAGGCCCCACTGGAGGGGAGTGAGTGGATCAGATTGCCTCACCAAAGCAGAAGGCCCAAATAAGGTAATGAATGGGAGATATGCTTGGAAAATTAAAACAGGAACAGGCTATCAAAGGCTTTGAATGCCTAGGCTAAAACATCTGGACTTGCTCCTATGAAGAGTGAATACCACTAAGAGTGCATGAGCAGAGAAGAGACAGCATAAATATAAGAAACTGTCATCTGAAAGCTCACTCCTAGAGAGCTCTTAAATGGGAAAGGTTCTATTCTGCTCTGCCTAGAGACAGCAACATCGACCATATGATTTCTTCCAGTCTCAATGTGAAAGCCATGATGTCACCCAGCTCACTAGTCTTCCAGAGCCCATTTGCCAACCGATTCATACCAATCTGCTTTCTTCTTTCTGTTTGTAGCTCTTGCTTTGATCCTCCTCACTCTCCTTCTTCCCATCTAAATGTTCTCCAAGTGCTTCCCTGTGGTGGGAAAAAAAGAAAAAAAACAAAAAACAGAAAAAATGAAGTTATTTCTTGTACTTAAATTCTATATTTAAAGGTTTTGGCCTGGCACAGTGGCTCACGCCTGTAATCCCAACACTTAGGGAATCCAAGACAGGATGATTGCTTGAGGCCAGAAGTTCAAGATCAGCATGGCCAACATAGCAAGACCCCATCTCTATTTATGTAAACAATAATAAAAATGGTACCATTGTATTTCATATATAAATATATATTCCATATGGATTAAAATTTAAATATTGGCCAGGCGCGGTGGCTCACACCTGTAATCCCAGCATTTTGGGAGGCCAAAGCAGGAGGATTGCTTTAAATCAGGAGTTTGAGACCAGCCTGGGAGACATAGAGAGACTCTGTCTCTATCATAAAGAAAAAATTAAATATTTTTAAAACTACAATCATAAAAGCACTAGAAGTAAATACAGGAGAATATCTATACAATCTTAGCATAGAAAACCCATCTTTAAATAAGATCAAACTCAGAAAAAAAAGATTAAAAGATTTTACTTTGTAAAATATAGAAATTTTACCCTTGAAAGTCAAGGGATAAACTGGCAAAAGATATTTGACAAAATTGTACTATCCATAAAATAGGAAGGGCTCCTTCAAATTAATACATAAAAGACAAAATACCAAAGAGAAAAACAGGCAGAGGATATGAACTGGCAGTTTCCCGAAGAAACACAAATGGCAAATAGCCATTTGAAGATAGAGTCAGCTTCACATATAATCAGAGAACAAAAACCCTGTGAGTCATCATTACCCTATTATCAGACTAAAAAAAGATTTTAAAGGTTGACAATATCAGGTGGGAGCCCAGCTTTCCACACTCCAAGGGTGGGAATGTAAAGTGTAAAAATCTGTCTAAAAGGCAATTTGGCAAGATTTGTCATAAACTTAAAAGTGCCTCCCCTCTGACCCAACAATCCTATCTTTAGGAATTTTTTATAGAAAGCCTTCACAAGTACATAAATAAATATGAATGTGCAAGAAAGATGATTGTAGCACTGACTATACTAGCAAGAGCATGGAAACATTCTACATACATATTAATAGCTGACTAATTAAGAGGAAACATTTCAAAAATACTTTGTAGCCTACAAAAAGAATGGTGCAAAACCTAGCAGCAAGAGAAAACGTCCACAGCCGTTAAGTGAACGAAGCCAGTTGTAGAACAATATGTAGACTATAATGCACATTGCTTTTTAAAACAGGTTTATATGTGCACAGGACATTTTCTGGAAGGATAGATTAAAAACAGATAACAGCAATTACTTAAGGAACATATTTTCTGTATTTTTGTATTGCATGAATTTTATAAATAGTGCATGTGTGTGTGCTTGTCTGTGTGTGAATCAGAAAACAAGTCGCAAGGGGCAGCGGCGAGATGAGGTTCCAGATTATGGACTTCAGAGGAAGCATGGGGGAATGACCTCACCAACCCCCATACTACTTACATCATTGAGACCCGGCTCTCTCCTCTGGCACACAGTGGCCATAAGGGCTCCCAGTACTGCCTTAGGAAAAATGAAACCAACATCCAACATGACACAGATTTTTTTTTTTTTGAGACAGAGTTTTGCTCTTTTTGCCCAGGCAGGAGTACAATGGCACCATCTCAGCTCACTGCAACCTCTGCCTCCCAGGTTCCAGCGATTCTCCTGCCTGGCAGATCTCTTTATCCCATTCTTTCTCAACTTTTTCTAACTCTGACTTCCCTCTCTACTCACTTTGTTCAAAGTCCAGGACAATCCTACCTAGTGTAACACTAGTTTGGAGATAAAGAGCTGAGTTACCATCCTTTATTCCCAATCTAAGCAAAACCCTTGTTTTTTTTTCTTGCCATTTCATTGACTTCCCTATTCTTTTTTTTTTTTTGAGATGGAGTTTCGCTCTTGTTACCCAGGATGGAGTGCAATGGTGCGATCTCGGCTCACCGCAACCTCTGCCTCCAGGGTTCAGGCAATTCTCCTGCCTCAGCCTCCTGAGTAGCTGGGATTACAAGCATGCGCCACCATGCCCTGCTAATTTTTTGTATTTTTAGTAGAGACGGGGTTTCACCATGTTGATCAGGATAGTCTCGATCTCTTGACCTCGTGATTCACCCGCCTCGGCCTCCCAAGTGCTGGGATTACAGGAGTGAGACACGGCGCCCGGCTGACTTCCCTATTCTTATTGAACATGCTCTTTGTTTTCTTACTAAGCAAACTTATTGTTGTTCCATTTTACTCAGATTTTTTTTTTGTTTTGGTTCCCAAGTTTTATTCAAGAACACATACAAAATATTCCAGATAAATGAAATTTAATCTTCATCTTCCTCCTCTTCTTCGTCCTGGTTAATCTGGAAGTAACGTAATTCGTAACTCTCTTTGCTATTAGCAACTACACGCAACCAATCACGTAGATTATTCTTCTTCAAATATTTTTTGGTGAGATATTTCAAATACCTTTTGGAGAAGGGCACCTCAGACGTCACGATGATCTTGCTCTTGCTCCTTTCGATGGTCACCACCCCTCCACCAAGGTTACCGGCTTTTCCGTTCACTTTGATCCTTTCTTGCAAAAACTGCTCAAAATTGGCAGCATCCATGATTCCATCTTCTACAGGGTGGGTGCAATCAAGAGTGAACTTCAGAACCTGCTTCTTTTTTTTGCCCCCCTTCGCCACAAGCTTTTTCACGGCGGCAGCGGAGGCAGAAAGCTTTACTCAGGTCTTCAGCTATTGCCAGGCTTATCATGTTCCCATCACCACTCAAAAAGTTCCCTTGACTTTCTACTTTGACTACCAATTAATGACCAACTCTAAAGTATCCCTTCCAACTGCTTTCTGCACCAAAGATCAGTGCTTCAGAAAGAAAAAAACGATGATGCAGTCCAGATATGCTACATATTTTTTTTTCTTAGAGTCTTCCTCTGTCATCCAGGATGGAGTACAGTGGAGCCATTTCAGCTCAGTGCAGCCTCCACCTCCCAGGTTCAAGCAATTCTCCTGACTCACCCTCCCAAGTAGCTGGAATTACAGGCATGCACCATCAGGCTTGGCTAACTTTTGTATTTTTAGTAAAGATGAGGGTTCACTGAAGCAGGAGCAGCTATGACAAACAGACCTCTCGACACTGAACTATGAAGGAAGGAGTGATTTATTTCAGTTGGGAGCAAGGTGCATAGCTGCCCAATAGCCAAGCTCCTCTAACAAAGAGAAGCTCTGCCTTTATGTAGGATTACAACTCTAGATATTACACACGAAAGCGTCTTGGGTTTACAGCCTTAGAAATTACCTGTGAAAGGGTCTTGGTCCGTGGAGTAGGCATGGGGTAGGTGTTTGATCTTGTTTAAGTAAAAACAATGCCTTCTGGAGAGATTCCCCCATACTATGCCTGCTATCTATAGGAAGGCAATTAAGGAGGTGTGGGTTAGCCAGCCTTTTCTTCTATTGAAATGCAGTGTGGAAGTCAAGGGGGAGGTAATCCTAGATGCTTGGGTCTCTTTCCTCACTTCACTGCATTGGCTGGGCTGCAGACATGCTATAAATTCTTATTAACTAGTTTTAACTTAAATCTCATCACTGGCTTTTATTCATCATTTTTTACTGCTTAGCACTGTACTGTCCAAATATGGTAGCCATAACCACATGTGGCTATAAGGCCCTTGAAGTGTGGCTGGTGCAAACTGAAATGTGCTATGAGTATAAAATACACTCTAGATGGATTTTGAAGACTTTGAACAAAAAATATTTGCAATATATCTCATCAGTCTGATTTATACTGATTGCATATT